GGTTCACAAACAGGTTTACTTGGTCTATTGGGTAATTATATTAATGAAGATAATGTTGATTTAATTAATCAAGCATTAATTACATTAACTGAATATTGTCAAGGACCATGTCATGATAATCAAGATGCAATTGTTAATCATGAATCAAATGGTATTGATATAATTATTGCTATTGTTTTAAATGATATAACGCCATTAAATCAAAAAAATTATGATCTTGTACTTGAATTAAAAGTAAATATAAATTATTTATTTATTTATTTATTTTTGTTTATTTCTATTGATTTTATTTTCTAGGATAATGCATCAAAATTACTTTTAGCTGTAATGGAAAGTCGTGATGATAGTACAAATGCAGAACGTATTCTTAGAAATATTACACCTGTTTCACAATTAGTAAAAAAAAATACAACACTAACATTTTTTTTTCTCTATAAGACTTAATTTTTAATTTTAGCTTGATGTTGGTTGTCAAATTTATGCTCGTGGTAAACAACAAGATATTGAAAGTAAAGAAATTGAAAATGATGAAGAAGTAAATGATAATACTAATAATGTTGCACAAACTGTCGGTCATAATATGTATATTCTTACATATCAAGTATATGCTTCATATATATATATATGTATTTATTAATTAAATGCACTTTTGTTTTGCCTTTTTTTTTTGAATATATAGCTTGCTCGTCATAATCGTGAACTTGAAATGTTAATGAAACATCGAACATTAAATGATGAAGCTTTATCTTATTATCATAAACATACATCTGAAATTGAAATTATTCGACATGATCGATCAATAGAACCAAGTAATATTCTTCTATATATGATATATAATAATTTATTTCAATCTATTTAGTTGTATTTCCTGTTCCACAATTATGTGAATTTTTAACAAATGAAAAAAAACAAAAAGTTTTTTTAACATGTGAACAAGATGAACAAGGTTCTAAAGTAAAAGATTTTTTTGAAAAATTTTCGGAAATATTTGAAGAAATGAAATGGCAAAGAAAATTACGACATCAACCAACATTATATTGGTTTTCATCGCAAATGTCATTATGGAGTGATATAGCATTTAATTTTGCTGTTTTAATTAATGTTCTTGTTGCTGTTTTTTATCCATTTAATAAAGGTCTTAAGGGTAAATATTTTGCATTTTAAAAATATCGTATTTTGTTTTTTTTTCTTTCTTTAATAAGATCTTGATTCTCGTGCATCAGTAGCTATTTGGAGTTCATTATTAATTACTTTAATTGCTATTTTAATTAAACCAAATGCTACATCAATACGTATGTTTTTTGTTGCGGGCATTTTAAGATCAATTTATTCAGTCGGTCTTGGACCAACTTTATGGTTAATGGGAGCAATACAAGTATGAAGATGTTATTTTCTTATTGAATAATTTCTTTTTTCTTTTGTTTTTTTTTTTGTTAGGTATTAAATAAAGGAATATTTTTAGTTAGTTTTATGGGAAATAATGGAACATTTTCAAAATCACGTTATGAAAATTTAACTAATTTTCAACTTGTTTATCATGTTGGATATATAATGCTTTGTATACTTGGATTATGTGCTCATGAATTTTTCTATAGTCTATTAGTAAGTGAAATATTTATGAATATTTTAAAGCTTATTGTAAATCTATGCTATTCGGAAAATCAAAAAAAAAAACATACAAATGATTTTTCTTTCTATCAGAACAATCCGAGATTAATCGATTAGAAATTTTAAAAAGTTTTATCAATAATAAAAATTTAGACTGATTTATCAATATATGAATAATACTTTAGCTGAATAGAGTTTGACAAATAGAGCTCATTGGGTTGGTGTTGAACCCAGACTCAAACAGATTCGTCCCGGGCCTGGATTCAGTCGAATTGATTCCGGATCCAATCGAGTCCGAAAATGAAAATTTTTTTTGTGAACTGAATCCGTTAACCTTGGGCTCAATCGACTCTAATCATCTGATAAATGTGTAGAGCGCACGCTAGTCACTGAATACAAGAAACCTGAAAAAATATCTCATATCTTTGGCGTGGCTATCGACTTTCGATTAGAAAATTTCATTGAAAGTATTAAAGTGCAGTTCGATTGAGTCCGGATTCGAATTTGTCAATATATAAATGTTTGATGTTGTATTGTTTTCACTATTCTTAGTTGCTTGATGTTGTCTATCGTGAAGATACTTTGTGGAATGTCATTCAATGTGTTGTACGCAATGCTAAATCTGTTATATTAACAGCTGTATTTGCTGTTATTATTATTTATTTATTTGCTATATGTGGTTATTTATTTATCCAAGATGATTTTCTTATGGAAGTACAAGAAAAACCACTTGCAATTGATGATCAAAGTGTAAACATTACATTAAATAATAAAACTGATATTTTATGTAAGTATGATAAAAAAAAAAAAGTTTTTTTTTTAATAATGCTTCGCATGCTTTTCATATGTTAATTTATTTTGTTTTTTTGAAATTTGAAAAATGAAATATGTTAAAATTTTTATTTTTCCAGTTACTTGATATAATTTTTCGAGATTCAACATTATTTCAAGTAACACAATCAGTAACACGAAATGGAAAATCTATAATGTTAACAATGACATTAGCTCTTATACTTATATATCATTTTTCTATTTTTGGTTTTCTATTTTTTCGTAATGACTTTTTAACAAATATTCAACAAAGAAAAAATTCTATTCAATATCAACGTTCAAATCATTTATTTAAAAAACCGATTTTGACACGTATGTCAAATATTCGTTGTCTAGTGTTTTTCTTTGTTAATTGATTTTTGTTTTTTTCTATAAATTAAATAAATTCTAATGAATAATATTTAAAATTTTTTTTCTAGCTGCAATCATTCCAACCATTAATGATAATGAATATTGTACTAAAGATAATTGTACTAATGGTACAATAATTGATCATATTCGTAATGTTACTCAAGCATCAACTGTATTATCAGAAGAAGAAGCAGAAAATGAACAAGTTGAACGTGCTTGTGATACATTATTTATGTGTATTGTAACAACACTCAATAAAGGATTACGAAATGGTGGTGGTATTGGCGATGTATTAAGGCAGCCTTCGAGTCGCGTAAGTCAAACTTTTTCTTATATGATTTAGTCGCCAGGACTGAAGAGAAAATCTTCTCAGGTATCTTCTTCCAATTTCAATGATTGTTTTTTTGCCTATAGATACTACATAGTGTTTTAATAAAAAAACTCTAAAAGGATTGATATTTGACTAAATTATCGAATTTTTAATATGTCTAT